GGCAAATAAAATCCTTGAGATTTAGAGAGAGCAGTATTTCACTAGTAATTAAGGGGCAAATCACATCTTTGCAATACCACCAGTAACCTGCTTCTGGCACCATTCAGTTCCCGCATGTCCTGCTCTGGAAAGACAAGGCAGAGTACAAGACAAGGCAAGGCAAGTGTGTAGTGCAAATGCAGTCAGCGCTTGCAGAGGCCCTGCCAAGGAAGAAAGTCGTCCACCAGCCCGCTCAGCCCAAACTGGCAGTATTCATTCCAAGGGGAAGAGGTGGTGTTGGGACCTGACCTGCAGCAGTTGGCCAAGGACAGCCCAGCCGTGAGCCAAGGCTTTGAGGCAGCAGGTGCCCTGGGAAGACAGTGCCTCAAGGACAACTACATGGTGGAATGGAGCCAGGTCTCCAGGGAGAGAACACCGACTGATTTTTAACAGTAACCTAGTTTTCCCATTGCATGGGCCATCATTGTAGTAAATTTTGCTTGGTGAAATGCAGTGTATTTTTACAGAATCAAATTTGTTTTCTTGATCTCATGGGCTCCGCTATTTAGTATACGCAACAGACCTGAGAATCAGTAGCAACCCATGTAACTAAACATCCTTCATTAGCTGCTGAGAGAATTGAACCTTAGATTTAATACCAAACAAAGGCAGCTGTCGTTCTGAGAAAAAGCAAGCTGCATGGTAGCTTTGCTTCTCTAATCTCTCTGAGGGTCTCAAGTCAGTTACACTTAGGGTAGATTTTGTGTTTTTTAAACAGTTTTCTACACACAGTGTTGTTTTCACAAGTTATTAACTGTTTGCGTTTAGTTTTATAGTTATGATAAACTGTGTAACAGTACTACTAAATTATTGGAACTGTTACATTACTAATGAGTAGTTAACATATTTGTACTTATTCTCCTCCCCCCCCCCAAAAAAAAAACCTTGGAGGAGTTCTACTGTGTATTAAGATAACCAGTATTACAGGTAGTCTGAGTATACGAATAAGGCTGTGTCCTTCCTTATGTCAGAGAGATTGCTGGCTGATAATTTTGTTCATACTTCAGGCAAAATATGTTTTGTCTCTTACTCCCTTCCCCTTCACCTGTCAAACTTACACTAAGGAAAAAAGAAAAGCAAAGTTGGGTGGATGTTTTAGAAACCTAACATTTTTCCCCAAACAGCTGACAAATCAAGTCTTTGCTTCATATATTCACCTACAAAATAAAAGGTGAACTGCAAGTAGAAATATAAGATGCTGTAAACAAATGCAGTTACTTCATAGGAATATAAATTGAATTGACTGTATTAAAGATTAGAGAGGTTTTCTACTTCAAATGTACGTTTTATTATTATGTATTTAGGAGAAAAGTTTGAAATACTTAGGTGAATTCTTTGGTTTTTTAGTTACCACAAAAAGGTATTTCTCAAATTGGAGATAGAAAAAGCACAAAAATCTCAAAAAACAGGACTTTATATAAAACTAATATCATTTTAAGGCAAGGACTGACTCCTCTGCTGTTTGACAATAGCTCCAGAAATATTTATGTGGTGCAATAATCTGCAAGTGAACCCAACTTTACAACGGGCATAGTATTGTATACTGTTTTTTCTGGTGCGATCATCTTGGGAATGTGCCCTAGATATAGGTCTTTTTCATGATAGCAGCAGAGTGTTCTGCTGAATTATGGCTTTGTGGTGTCTGGCAATTATTTGTCTCAACCAATTTCTATCTAACCTATATACAATAGAGCTGTCTATGCTCCAGGCTTTGCTGCTTATTAAAGTTAAACAGGGAGATGCAGGATTTTGAAACCTTACACTGTCTTTTTTGCATCTTTTTTGTTGTCTTTTTTTGATTCCTTAATGTTGTTGTTATTGCTCTTCACAGATGGCCTACTGGAAACCAGACTACTGCTTTCAGCAAGAACTGCTTAAGGAGAAGGCTGTGATGAAATAAATCAGTCTTGCTTGGACCTGAATCAGTATCTGGTAATCAGAACTGCTTTTTGATATTAAACCACATCTCTCTTCAGAGAAAGATCTAATTCTTGATTGTAGTTCAGTTGACAGCACAGGCTCTTCATTATCTGGCTGACTTTGTTCCTCTTAAGGAACATTCTCCTCTTTACTATCTCCCAGTATGTAACATACTGCAACAAAAAGGAAATCCTATTAGGTGTTTAGAGGAATTTAAAACTTTTATGATGCTTATTCAAGTCTTGATACTTGTTACTGCGTAGTTTTCCTTCATTAGTTCTCTGTCTGCAGTTGTATATACTGAGAACTGTTTAAGAGTGCATAGACCTTCATTTCTGTTTAGTTTCAGAAGGTAACATATTTGTCAAGTTAATTAAGCACCTGTTTGCTTCTTTTCCATGCATATATTAAAGCAACTGTATTTATGAATGTGTAGTTTGTAATGTTTGCAATTACAAAGTTCTAAGTTCTTCAAATCTCTTGTATTTTTAATGACACTGGAAAAGATTGGCTTCTCCCCAGATTATTAGGCAGCATTGAGAGCTACAAGGCTGTTACAAATACATTGCTTTTTTGTATATGAAAGTTTTATAAACTAGAAGACAAAGGCTAATTTAGCACATCTGCATCAGTCTGCAACGCAGATGGCATCAAACACTTCTGTATGCTCTGTATTTCACTGAGTATCAAATGTGAAGCTAAGTGAAAACACCAATTAAAAAATACTAGTCAAAGATTAAATTCTAGAGCAAGGGATAAGCATTCTGCATCGTATTCTTACCTCCTGTGTACTAAGGTAGATCTAGATGAACTTCCTCTGATCTAGAAGAGGTTTAATACTTTCATGCTTAGGTAATTAAGGAGTTTGTGATTGGGACTTGAGTAAGATTTTTCATTAACACAACTAAATACATTGTATTTGCAATTGGTTGTCTCAGTTATGAGCATTCTCAATCATTTGAGCTACCACAGTGACCGCGTACCTTAAGCTAGTCTGAATTATTAACTTCACCTAAAGAAAGAAAGAAAGAAAGAAGAAAGCATATATATTCATTAAGATAATAAAGCTCTGGCATATAAACTGAATAGCCTAGCTATTCAATTAATGGAAACCATTCAATGAAGTAGAATAGACAGCTTCATTGTGTGATGCCTTCATTTGCTTTAGTGACTGACTTTATACTAGAGAATTAGTCTATATAAAATAATTTGGTCATTGGTCACCACCTGAGGTATAGCTGATTGCAATACTGTCTTTGTATGATATACAATAGGTGATGAGTGAGCTACATTAAAAATTTTGTTGAACAAAAGCTCTAGTCTAAAGATGTGCAGATTAGTACTAGTACTGAGAACCTAATTTTCTTAAGGTCAGAAGTTACCTTTTACAAACTTTATCGCTTACACTATGTTGCTCATTGAGTTCTTAATTTCATTTGACTACAGCTAAAAGCTGCTTTGGAATCCAAAATCCTTCCTACAATACCTGAGTAGTTGTAACTAGAATTTTGTGTTAAAAAACTTGGAATGGCATGTACTCTTGAGCATAAATGACTCCATGTTGATGGGAAATTTACTTTGTTTAGTACCTTTGATATGTTGCTTTAAAGAAGACCAGACTTGGAGCTCGTTTGTTTTGTCCCCAACAGATCTGAGGACTAATACTGCAGTGTTGAAAACAGAACTCCATGTACAAGTAAAGAGGTTTTAAGTGTTAAGGAAAACAACAAAATATGGAAGTATGATATACATATTGCATCAGTAATCAAACAGTTGGCAAGCTTCTCAGCTACATGTTTTTCTATCCTGTAAGAAATCAGATTAGAACAGTTTTAAAGCAAACAAAAACAGAACTATGTATGTGTCAGCACAGTAATAATTGGCCTCTGGAGAAATTTGGATAACATGGGGGAGGAAGCAACAAGAGACTATTATTTTCTTTACTGACATAGGCAGCAATAATGAAAAATTCATTATCTGGCTTAGGCAACTCAGACATCGTTAGAACTGGATTTTAGCTTGTATCAAAAACTAGAAAAAGAACAAAATCTTTAAGAAAATGTCACTTTGTAGTTTACCGTGAAAAATGAATCTCAACAGTACTTGAAAAAAATCACAATTTGTTTTGTACTCTAGTCAAAAAGAAATACAGTAAGGGAATGGAGACTGATGTAAATAAATATGAATGTTTGTGTTTGTATTTATAGAGACACACTGTCCTATGAGGTAAAAATAGGCTCTGCCTGAACCCTCTCTCACCCAACCTGGTGTGCTACGTGTTAGCATTGCAGTTAAACTAGCATCTTAAGGCTTAATTAACTTCTGAGTTTAGACTTCTAGATCTTAACTTGTAAAATAAATCTTGGACGAAACGTCTGTGAAGGAAGAGTACCTGGGTGTGTGACAATGTAGTCAGCAAACGTAGCTCAAGCCCTGTGAATATGGAAGTTGGTATATTAAGAAAAATCGAGGCGTAGCAGCGCACCAGTCTGGTAATTTAACAAGCTGTGAGGCACAACGCCTGGAGATTAAGAGGTAGCGGGCTTGGCTTCGCTTATGTCGTCCCCCGCCGCGGCTGGTTGCTGCTCAGCACGAAGGGAGGACGCGTGACGTTTGACAGAGTGCCTTTTTTATTACTTTTGAGCCTGTGCCTGAGGAGACGCGGCAGTGCAGTTTACCTCGGAGCAGCCCAGACGCGAGGGAGAGCTCTGGCAGCAGCGGACGGACGAGGCGGCCGGAGACGATGCTCGGCGGGGCTCGGCGTGAGGCGGGGCGCGGGGCCG